CCTGCCCTGCCCTGCCCTGCCCTGCCCTGCCCTGCCCTGCCCTGCCCTGCCCTGCCCTGCCCTGCCTTATATTCTCTGGTGTGGTGAAGATGGCTCCTCCAACATGGGCTCCCACCCTGACCAGCCTTGAACTGGACAGCTCAGTGTGAGAGATCTCCATTTGCCTTTCCTAGGACCCCTTCCTCACTCCTACCCTGTGACCTCCACACCCTGTCTTGCCAAATGTGACCCAAGGGTTAGGCTTTGAGATGGGGTCTTCACAGGCTACTCTAATGTTTTGGAGACAGAGAGGTCTACCACAGACACTGCTGTGTGCCATGGGAGAAACTCATAGTCACAATGGGCTTGCCTGGGACTTGATGTGGGTCTCAGGGTGTGACTCTCCCTGGGCCTCAAATTCAGCCCTGCTGAGGGATAGATCTGACTGGAGCTTCTCAGTGGGCTCCTGGGCCTAGTTTGCTGGGAGCTGGGGTTTGCAGGGAGGATGAGCACCCACCCCAGGCCTTAGGCTTCAGTGGTCCATCTCAGGGTGAGGACCAGGTTGCCTCCTGCCCAGGAACTTGCCTGGTCTCAGAGTCATTGGGTGCTAGGTTTTTCCTATCTGTTGCCACATGTACATAGGGGATGGGTGAGAGCCCTCGAGCGCCTGCCCAGTCCCCTTGGCCCCTGCCTGCCCAGGTTGTGTGCACGCTGGTGGCTGCCTTCTTGCACTTCTTCTTCCTGTCCTCGTTCTGCTGGGTGCTCACCGAGGCCTGGCAATCCTACATGGCCGTCACCGGCCGCCTCCGGAGCCGGCTCGTCCGCAAGCGCTTTCTCTGCCTGGGCTGGGGTGAGCTGGGCAGCTGGGGTTGGGAGGTGAGGGTGGACTGCGGTTAGGCCTGCTGGGGTATGTGAGGGTGGGCAGTGGGCTGGGGTTAGTAACCAGGAGTGAGGACACATGGCTGGAGAGAGGGTATATGGTGGGCTGGGATAAGCAAAGCCTGGGGGGGCAGGCAGCCAGGGTAAGATGATGCGCTATCTCTGTTCTTGTCATGTTTGTCCTGGCCCCTGCTTGTTTCTGCCACTTCTAGAGTTTCTGTTTGCCATTCTGGCTTCTCCCTCTAAGCTACCATTCCTTTATAAGGTTGCCAGAAAATGCAGCCCATTTGGTCCCATTGGCTTTCAGATGACAATGACAGTATACTGTATCTTCATAGTACTTGGGACACATGCTCTAAAAAGGATACTTCTTTCTATGAGGCTGAGTGGTAACAGGCCACGTCTCGCCCTCTGGTCTGCAGCCTGCACCATCCCACCCCCACCCACCTCTTGGAGTACTGCCCTCATTTGGGGCTTCCCTCATGCAGCTTGTCCCTCAACCCATGTGGAAAGGGGGTGACATGACTGATCACCTTTCTTCTGCTCCTCTTCTAGGGCTCCCTGCATTGGTGGTGGCCATTTCTGTGGGATTCACCAAGGCCAAGGGGTACAGCACCATGAACTAGTGAGTTGGGCAGGCGGGGATGTAATAGCATTCTGTAGACCCAGGAGATGCCCGACCTTACTGGAATTGTATCAGCCAGGCTTAGGAGGGTGAGCTGTTAAGACAGCTCTCACTCCTAAGCAATCAGGTCTTGTCCTGCCTGGTCTGGGAGATGAGGAGAATGCCCGGGGACCATCAGAGCCTCCTGCTTCCTCAGTGGGTGGCCTTGATGGGCCCCTGGAGTCCTCCTCTCCATGTGTGAAGTGTTAAGGATAACCCATGAGAACAGCAGATGCACCCTCCCCGTGGCCATTATAAGGGTGAGTCAGTTTCACAGATGAAGCCCCACCCTCCACCCCCGAGACCACAACAACTGACCTAAAGCAGTGTGGGCTCCAGATGCAAAATAGGATCCCAGACTCAGGATGGAGCTAGAAAAGGGAACAGAGACCTGGAGGTTGGCTGGCTCACACTAGTTGGGAGCTTGGTGGCTAAGAGCATTACCTGACTTGCTCTGAAGCTCTGGGGGGGAGGGGGTGGCAGGGCTCTGGAGCCCCTATATCTGAGCCAAGTTGAAGACACCAGTGAGATTCTGAAGAATCAAGAGGAGTGTGTTGAGCAACATTGGCTACAATTCCCAGGCCAGCGCTGTGGACAGTCCTGTCGCATGCAGAGTATCCTCTCTGGCAGTGGCTCTCAACATGTGGGTTTCAGCCCTTATAGGGGTCACATACCAGATATCCCGCATATCAGATATTTACATTACGATTCAGCACACTGGCAAAATTACAGTTATGAAGTAGCAACAAAATAATTTTATGGCCGGGGGTCACCACAGCATGAGGAACTGTATTAAAGGGTCACAGTATCAGGAAGGTTGAGAACCACTGCTCTAAGGTTTGATCTACTGGTATCATGGATGGTGTTCGGGGGTTTTGGAGAGCTAGGCAAATGAGCGTAAGGTTAGTGACCTAGGACAGGAACCTCAGGTCTGCCAGAGACTCTGAGAGAAGAACCAGAAGTGGCCCCATTCATAGAGGACAGATGGGAGCCCCAGGGCTTCTGAGGGGGACACCCTTGCTCTGGGCCATACCTCCATTTGTAAGTGGAGGCGGCAGTGGCTGCATGGAGAGTCCTGAGGATTCCCTCCCACCAAAAAAAAAAAAAAACTGTGTGCAAATTTCCCTGTTTCTGTCATGGCTGCCCAGCTCATACACTTTTCCCTGACACACTCTCTTGGGCATGGTGCTGGGTTCTGACAGCTTGTTTCTTCCCCAGTTGCTGGCTCTCCCTGGAGGGGGGACTTCTGTATGCCTTCGTGGGACCGGCTGCTGCAGTCGTGCTGGTACTGACCCACTCCTTCCCTCCCCTACCTCCCAGGCTGGACCCCTGGGTCCTTACCTGCCCCTTAGGTGGCCTGTGGGGATCTGCTCACCAGCAGTGGCAGCTCCCTCACTCCGCTCCAGTCTCTCGGTGTGGTACCCTGTCTCCCTCTTATCTCTATGAGCATGGCTTGCCTGGGTATTGGGCACTGAATATGTGCCTGGCAGGAGGCCTTTGTGAGTTGGGTAACAGGGAGGTGGGGACAGACAGACAGATGGGCAGCTGAAGCTACAGGGACTGAGTAGACTTGGCTCAGGTCATGCATGTCCACTACAACTGTCAGCACCCAGATTGCCAAGAGCTGAGGCTGCTTGTTTCCTGGTGTCAGAGGGACCTTGCTTTTTCCTGATCCTTCAGTTGACATGCCCATTTGGAGAGGAGTCCAGAACTATAGCTGGGGACTGGCCCAGAGCCTGGACTGGCAGACCTCAGCGTGAGAATAGATGCTGTCTCTCTCTCTCTCTCTCTCTCTAGTCTTCATCACCCCAGCTTACCCTTTGTGGGGGAGGGGTGGTCAGAGAGCTTGGCTCAAGTCAGTGTGGTAGACAGGTGGCACAGGAGTGACTGACCCTGCAGAGTGTGAGACTCGAGTCTGGGGTGAGTGTATAGGTAGGTAGAGACAGTTGGGTGGCTGCCAGCATCCCTGCTCCTTATTCCTCAAAGGCGTCCAGATGGAAGGCCAGGCGGATATAACGAGTCAGTGTCTCTGAGGGCAGCTGCTGGGCCAGAACAGGTGTCATTTAAAAGCAGGCTCCAGGGGCTGTGTCATAGGATCCTGTGCATTGACCACTCATCCTATGACAGACAAGCAGAGCCTATTGCAGGAGGGTACACAGGCCTAGAATACCTGCCACCCAGGTGTGTGGTCAGAAAGCTATGAGGCAGGGCTATGCCAAGAAGCAAGGCCCTGTACATGAAATCCTGACTCTGCAGAGCTGTGGAAACTCTCAGCCCCCCCGGATCTCTGGGCATGGTCTCTGGCACAAGAATCCAGAGTATCTCCTCACCTTGACCTTTGCCCCTTAGGGTCAGGTCAAGGCCTTGGGGTCCTGACAGCCTTTCTACAAAAAGGGAGTTATACTAGAGACCCTCGGGAATTCTCTCAAAGTGGGGATGAGAAGTAAGATCTGAACAACACCTTATCCCTTATCCCATACCTTGGCAGAGATAACCACAGAGAGGCAAGGTGCCAGGGTCCCAGGATATGGAGGCTCTGACAGTGGACTTAAGACTGATTCTTATCTTGGGTAGTAAATTGGTTAGTAACTTGGAAGATGCATCTGAGACCCTAAGAAGCCCTCAGGAGGCACCCAGTGAAAATTGTTAGTAGGGATGAGGGTCAGTGGGATTGAAGGAGCTCAAGAATGAGGGGTGCCCAGTATTAGCCAGTTGAAGCCATCCTTGGCCCTAGGACTCACCTAAAACTAGGAGCCATCAGGGGCCAGGGGAGGGGTGTTGGTGGTATGGGCACACTGAGGACAGGGCTCAGGATGGATCCACCTGGCCAGCACTGGGGTCTGAATTGTGGGGGAACATGACTAACCCTTGAAAGACTGTGGACATTCTGGGCATGGTCGCTGCTGATCTAGGCTCCCATGGGCTCTGGCCCACTCCTGCCTCTGCCCGGCAGGTGAACATGGTGATCGGCATCCTGGTGTTCAACAAGCTCGTGTCCAAGGACGGCATCACGGACAAGAAGCTGAAGGAGCGGGCAGGGTAGGCCCTGTGGCACTGGCACCTTGCCCTTCTTGGCTAGAAAGACCCAGAGCCCACACACCATTAAGTCCCCACTCCAGTCTGACAATTCAGGTGTCCTGAAGCAGGCTGGGAAACTGAAGCATAGAGTACAAAGGCTTTTTCTAGACAGTCGGTCTCTGCTTTGTTCTGTGCCTCAGTTTCTCTAAGTGACCTGTAACAAGGTGGGACCCTGCAGAGTCTCCAGAAACTGTGAAGCTCACTTCTCAAAGAGAGCACCCCCTGCTGGGCTCAAGCTGGTGGGAGGGCACCCTAGGTCCAAGGCTGGGAGCGCCTCTTCCCTGCTCCCTGAATCCCACCACAGGAGGCCTTGCCTGTCTGGTGTCTTCATCACTGGAGGATAGCTAGGGACAGGTGGGACAAGGCTCCTCCCACACTACTCAGGCACCTGCTCTGTGGGTTGTCCTGGGAGTGAGGGATGACATGGGGGTCACTGCTGCCTCAGCTCAGGGACATTTGAGGGGCCACAGGATACTGGGGTGGTAGCCTTGCCCTGCCCAGAGTTCTCCCTGTCCAGTCTTCTACATCCTACAGCTGGTGTGCTGGTGTCTTTGTGGGGGTCCTACCCCTGCCCCTCCCCCCTGTGCCTGTCTTGCTTGGTGTCTTTCTCTGTCTCTCACTGTCTCTCTTTTTCTGGTTCCTCCTTTTCTGCCCGGTGACTTCCCTGGGTGCCTGGTGGACTCTGGCCCTGGTTAAAGCTCCTGAGAGGGCTAAGGAACTGTCATTGTGCTGGGGGTTCCTCTGTGGTGCAGAGCACAGGCCTGGGCTTCCTGGCTGTCCACCCTAGAATAGTGGGCCAATATCAGAGTCTGAGACCCAGACCACATGTGGGTTGAACTGTGGCTGAAGTTGTAGATGTGGAGGTCTCTCTGGACTCTCCAGCCCTGGCCTGCTTGATTTGCTATTAGAATAGCCACAGGGCAAGCTTCCCTATCTCTCTCCCCTCACATCAGAGTAAACAGGAGTTTAGGAACTGGAGAAATCTGGGAGCTGGAATCAGACCCCATCTCTGGGTATCCTGGGCCAATGCCTAGATGAGGAGGCGTCTTCCCGCTGTGTGTGCATGCACACCCCCCTCACACATCCATGGGCATGCATGGACAGGGTTGTCATCCAGCTCAGCCTGTCTATTTCTGCTCTCCTTGTGAGGCCAGCCCATGTGATAACATCTGGTGTGCCTATGTGGGAAGAGGAAGGATTGCAAAGCCTCCTTCAGATCTCGCTGCTCTCCACACTGAGACTGAGGCATGCTGTCAGTCAGCAGATGCTGGCAGCCTGCAGTCCTGCCCATCTTACTCCCTGCCCTCGGCTTGGGTCCCTTGGATGCCTGAGAGCCTCAGGCTGCCGTCTCTGCTCCTTGCCTCGCGTTTCCGAGGGAACCTGTTTGCTTTTGTTTCAGCCTTTGATTTCACTTGCAGTCAGCTGCCCGTGCCCCCCCTCGGGCGTGCCCTCACGTGTGCTGAATGCGGAGTCCTCTCTGCGGCCGAAGCCACCTCCGACGCCACCAGTAACGCCATGTTAGTGCCTTGCCGCCACCTTGGAGCAGCCCTGTGTGGGCTCTGCTCCCTCCCGACTCACATTTACTTGTTTTTATGTTTTTCTTTCATTTCTTTCATTTCTGCAGTCCCCTCTCGGTTTCCAAGGCAGCCCTGGCCTCTACCCACCCTCTGCCTGCAGGCTTGTCTTTTCCAATTCAAGACCTGCTTGCTCTGCAGCATATAAGATACTTGGGAGGCAAGGAGTGGGTCAGCTAAGGTAGTAGAATGGGACTGAATCCAGGGTCAGTTGGGGTGGGCCTGTACTTCTTCTTGATGCTCCCAAAGTCTCCCCAACAATGCTGGCCCAGAGCTTAGCCACAGCCCCCACCTCCGTAAGGCAAGTAGATAGAGACTGGAGTGTTTGGGGGGTGTGAACCCATTAGCATTGCTCATATGTAAGAGTGGCTGGATGTGTATATCGTATATATGTACCAGTGTGCACAGGGATGTGTGGGAGTGGGTGTGTTGACAGCTATGCAGAGAGGTTCCCATATGTGAAAGTAGCTGGGTGTGTGGACAGTGTGCTGCTCGTGGCAGTGAGGGTGACTGGTATGTGCAGACATGAGGAAAAAGTATGCAAGTGTGAGCTTGTAAGCAGGTGGATGAATGGTAAGTAGGTGTGAGCGTGTGTGTGTGTGTGTGTGTGCGCGCGCGCGCGCGCGCGCGCATGCCTGCAAACATGTAACTGTAAGAATGTAACTGGGCATGGGCAACTGTGTATAGATGCATGTGTTATTCCCTATGGGTATGTGTGTTGTGTGTCTATATGGGTGCTCAGGAAGATATGACCATGGGAAAAGAGTACTGAGCCCAAGGGCTGTAGATCCCCTGACTTGGCTGTGACAACATAGCTGTTTTGGGTGGGTGGAGTTCAGCATAGAAGGTCCAACCCAAAAGCTCATCTTGTTTGGGCCCCTCCTTCAGGACATAGCAATAACAATAGCAGACAGCCTGAACACTAACCTCTTGAGCAGACACTGGAACCCAGGACTCTTGGCGCCTCGGGCTTTGTGGGTAAGAAGATGTGCAAGGTTTAGGACCCATCCAAGTAGAGTAGCCTGGACCCTTGCTGGGCCCACGTTGCTGTGAGCCCCAGTGCCCCACGTTTGGATCAGCAATCTGTCTCGGTAGAATGCAGACAAACTCAGGTCCAGCCTGAGCCAATCAGCTGAGGAGCAGGATTCCAAAGGTCAGGCAGCAGCTAGAGGGGGTGACACCCAGGCCTCACGGGGACTCTTCTGCCTGGGGGTATCTGAGGAACTTGTGGCTCATCTTCCTCGGGGCTTCTGGGGAAATGATTTGGAAACTGGTGGCCTGGGGGAAATAGAGAAATGGCAGAGCTGATTTTGTTGGAAGCCAAGGAGTCTCTGCTGATGGGAAGACCTGCTCCTACACCACACAGGTGACATGAGGCATCAGGGTCCCAGATCAAAGAATGTCTGCTTTGTAGAAGAGGGGAGATGTCACTGGGCCTGGTGCTATGGTAGGGACAAGTATAGAGAATGTTCCTGCCGGTGATGGGAAGTAATTTACTAGAGGGCCAGCCTGCCACTGTTCTATTCTAGCTTCAGGGTCGGGTGAGCTTACAGCAGGGGTAGGGTTGGGTGTACAGCCTGCTGGCATATGCAGCAGGGGAGAGGGAGGTGGGGTAGCTGACGGTGTGCTAGAAGGCTCCAGTCTAACCTCCATTTCAAAAGTATGAGTGGGATCAGTTGGGATCCAGTGGGGCTTTGTGCCTCACATGGTGTTCCCTCTGAGAAGGGAACGAGAGTTGACTGGAAATGGGGGTTATCTGAGGTAGTTTAGGAGCCCATGGTTCAGGGCATCGAGGGAAGGGTGGGCCATCAGATTGATTTCTGACTTGGGCCTGTGTTGGGGAAGATGAGCCGACAGAGATCTGGGCAGGGCTAAGAGAGCCGGTCCTGTGTGCCCTGGCTACTGGTGGCTACTATGTTCACCAAGTGATAATAGCCGTGGCTGCAGGCTAGAAGATCCCTGGGGTCAGCGTAGCATGGCTTCAGAAGGCACAAGGTAGGCCTGGAAGAGGTCACGATGAATGTCTACTGTAGTCAGCTATATGGTCTCAGAGGCCAGGGAGGAGGTGAGGACGGCTGTGTCCTTGCAAGGCCAATGCCCACATAGGACCCCTGCCATGGCTGTACTCTTCAGTTTGGTGGGAGTTTGGGGGACCCTCTGCCTAACTGGGTCCTCAGGTCCTCTAGCCTCTCCCATCAGCCCACTGCCCTAGACCCCACTCTGTGTTCTGTCCCTTTCTCCCATCTGCTCCTTTGAGGGGACAGCAGGATGACCCCCCAAGAGAAGAGGGACAGGTGATCCTGATGTCACCCCTGACTCCTGGCGATGACAGGGGCTTCAGACAGGCCACAGTGGCTCCTGGAATCCCGAGAGTGCTGGGACTGGGACCGAGGCACAATTCTGAAGCACTTACATGTCCCCTTGAGGCAGCACCATTGTCCCCACCTGAGCTTAGGTAAAAGCTCAGGGGTAGGTGTGCAGGCCAGGTACTGATGGAGGGCTCAGGTTACTAGGCTCCCTGTGCCAGCCAGGTGCTCCAAAAGAGACTGAGGGTTGATGGCAGGGCTGGTGGCTCAGGTCGGGGCCACAGGAGGGCGCTGAGGCCCAAGAGAGCAGCTGCAGCCTCAGAAGAGGAAGAACACCCTTCTGTCTGTTCTGTCTGTCTTGGTCTCTCCTCTGACCCTCTGGCCTTGTCCAACTGTCCACTGTCTGTCCTGTCTCTCCCTCACAGTTTCTCTCTCTCGTTCTCTTGGTACTTTCCCTGACTCCTGTCCCCCCACAGCCATCTTGCATTGCAGTTGGAGTCCTGGGTCTCTGGGTCCAGGGCTCAGGGCCTGGAAGATGGAATCAGGGGCGTCTTTGCTCCATGCAGCTCTCCCATCCCAGTGTCCTTCCTGTCTGTCTCCTTCCAATCAATCTCCTGGACAGGGTCCAAGTTCTCTCCCAAAGCGCTCCTCTACTTTGTTGGGTCCCTTCCAAGCCCTCAGGCCTGGGGATGGGGGAAAGGGGTGTCCTCAGGAGAGGTGGAGCGCCCATGGGGCCGCCCTGATGCCCTCCATCCCCAGGGCCTCCCTGTGGAGCTCCTGCGTGGTGCTGCCGCTGCTGGCGCTGACCTGGATGTCTGCTGTGCTTGCTGTCACCGACCGCCGCTCCGCCCTCTTCCAGATCCTCTTCGCTGTCTTTGACTCACTGGAGGGCTTCGTCATCGTGATGGTGCACTGCATTCTGCGCAGAGAGGTGGGCGTCCTGGCCTGGGATCCACCTGTGCCCATCACGTGGCCAGGGTTGCTGGGAATGGCCCCCTTTTGGAGGATAGTTTATTTCCCAGGATATCTCATCAGCTATAGGAGGTCTGCAGCTGATAGGGCAGAGTAGGACAGCCAGTGCTAGATGCTTCTAGCATTTTCTGAACCTTTTGGAAGGTGAGGATATGAGGTTTCCATTCAACTATGTTCTGATGCCCACCAGCAGGAGGCAGTAATGAGGCTAGGTGGTTTTCCTGACCTTAGAGAGGCTGCCCTGTGGATAGAAGTGTATCCTACCTCAGTAGGCCAACTTCTGCTCAAGACAGAGCCAGAACAGGCCTGGGACCTAGAGAGAGCCTGCTGGGGCCTAGAGAGAGCCTGTCACCTCCATTCTCTTCAGAACTTTCTAGAATGCTGCTGAGGGACTTGAAAAGCAGGAGCTATGAGAAAACACAATTGACTATGGCTGCAGGAACCAGGGTGGGGACCTCAGGTGACAGAAAAGACTGGCCCAGCAGGGCAGTGAGGAGGCTAGATGTTTCTGTTCTCTAGGGAGGCTCTGGAGGAGCACCCTGGGAATGAGGGCTGCCTGAAATTGCAAAAAATATTTCCACAACAAGGCCTATGCCCTCCTTCCACTTCCCTGTGCTAGTCATGTGTCACTCAGCTGTGGGAAGCTACTGTGAAAAGCCACCAAGCACCAAGGTAGCTCACAGGGAAAGAAGAGGCTTCTGAGCCCACTTGTTCCGACTACCTAAGCACAGAATCCACAGTTCTCCATAGCCCCTCCACCAGGTGCCACAGCTTTCAACCCAAAGGCAAGTAAAGTCTGGTCTCACGTTCTAAGGCCCCTGGTCTGCTCTGAAGTTACTCTCTGGTCCTCCGCTCCTCTCTCAGTGTTCTGGCTTCTACGGGATGAGCAGTGGCCTGTGAGAAAGGAACATGAGCATTGCACAGACAGAAGGAGCTTGAGCATCCCTAACTCCAGAACAGCAACTTCAGAGCTGGGCCGGGGAGAGGGAGACTTGTCCTGCCTAGCGTATAATGTAGGAAGAAAGACTGAAGATCAGTTGGAAGGAGAGGCCTGCAGGACCAGCTGACTCAAACCAGGTACTCCAAGAAAGCAGCAGGACAGATGTCAGAAGAATAGCAGAACATCTCACTAAAATCTGGCCCTAGGGATCTACCCAAAGCCTTGTGGTCAAGAAGTTCAGATGTGACTGACAGCCAAAGGGCCCACAGCTCCATGTAGGTAGGGTAGGGTGAGGACACAGAGCCAGCTTCAACCCTTGTGTGTGGTTTTTGATGCAGGCCTCATCACTGCTGTCTCCAGAGCCTGGATTTCAGGATAATATTCAATACTGTGTCCTTCTTCATGCTGATCATCCTGGGTGATGAGCCACTTCCTCTTGGTTCCACTTGCCAAAATGTATACTGTCCTTGTGGCTGGCCTTAGCCTTGCTCATGCAGCCTGCCATGAGAATCAGGCCCACCACCTGCAGTCAGGCCAGGTTTGGGGGGTGCAGGCTGTCCCTGCAGCCAGGTGCCTGCTTCAGGCTTACGTCCTTACAGTGGTGTCCAGCCAGTGGAGCCTGGAGCTCCTTCCCTGCATCAGGAACTCCAAGTGTCTTCATCTTACACGCTCTCTCCTCCTCGCACAAGGTGTGCTCCAAGGAGGCTCCTTGCAGAGGTACTGCGTGGGGCCATGGCTCCCTGCTGACATGCTTTCCCTCCTCCAGGTCCAGGACGCTGTGAAGTGCCGTGTGGTAGACCGACAAGAGGAGGGCAACGGGGACTCGGGGGGCTCCTTCCAGAACGGCCACGCCCAGCTCATGGTAGGACTGCCTGCCTGGAGCTACAAGCTGTCCCGCCTGGGACCTCTATGTCCTCCCTGTTCCCAGAGTTCTGCTGGGCCCTAGCAGCCCTATTAGATGGATTCTGACCTCAGTTTGCAATTGGAGAAACTGAGGCCAAGTTGAAATCCTTGATCCAGGGTGTTGAGCTGGGAAAGGCTGTTGGGTGAGTTGGGTGGGGGCATTCTTGCCTTCCTCAAAGCTGGCTCTTCCAGAACTGTGCACAAGCCAACTGTGAGTTAACCCATGCAGACTGCTTCAACTAAGGGATCTAGGCACAGTAGCCTCTGAGCAGAGCCCTGGGCTCTGCTGCCTAGCCAGCTTCCTGCCCCTCTGGCATCACCCATATGTTGTCCCAGGTGTTCAGCACCCCCAAGGGTGAGGCACTGGGGAGCATCTCCAGGTGGTGTCTACACAGGGCCAACCCTCTGGGCCTCAGTGCCTCCATCTAGAGGGAACAAGTATCAGCTGGACAGGTACTTTGTCATTTGGGGACACTGTTTTCCCTCCTCTTGATGTTTCTCCTGGCCTGACCTCTGACCTCAGGGGAAGACGGCCACCTTCCCAGCATCTTGGCTCCTGCATTTCAGGGAAAGACCTCCAGTTTGAGATTAAAGGCCAGACTGACTCCCCTGGAGCCCTGTGGCCTCTGGATGGGTCTTGTAGACCCAACTTCTAAGGTGGTCCTGGGTCACCACTCTGGCCTCCCCAGCTGCTGTCCTCAGAGATGCAGGGGGGACCATGTCTCTGCTCTAGGGGAGGCTGGTGCTGGCCCAGGTCTGTGTCTGTCCCCTGCTGTCTGTCTTGGATGGAATGGCAGAGGCTCTGGAAGCCCTGGTGGCTGCATGGCTTTGGGGAAGCATGGCCAGAGGGGCAGAGGCCGGCTGCTCCGTGATGCCTTGGAGGGAGAGCACGCATGGTTAATTGCACGCACACACAGGCAGACACAAACACATGCATGGAGAAACATGTGCGTATGCTCCTTCACATAGTGCATAGAAGTCAACTGGGGCTCAATTGTGAGTCATACAATCCTCCTCTCAACATATATGTTCATGTTCACACAGTATGCTCCTCTCGACTTGCAAAGTCGGACGCACCACAAGCACACAGAAACACAGCACACACATGCATGCGAATGCTGACAGACACACCCATGCTTGCACAGACAAGCATACAGATGCATGGCCACACCGTGTGGCCCATAGACTAATAATGTGGGCTGGGGTTCTTGGTGACAGTATCGGCATATTTGTGACCTCTGAGGTGTGGGTGTGGCTTTGGTGGCCCCGTTCCTACCACCCTGCAGCTTGCAGCACCACCTGCCACCAGCCCTGCCCTCATCTCGTCCTCGGTCTCTGTCTTGCAGACCGACTTTGAGAAGGATGTGGATCTGGCCTGTAGATCAGGTGAGCGCCTGACAGGTGAGAGCCGTGGTGGTCAGTCGGCCCTTCTGCTTCTTTCTTTACTCCTAGCATCTGTGTGTCTTACCTGTCCCCATCCCACATCTACTGCCACATGGCCCAGCCTGGGCCCCCTCCTTCTCAAGAGCTTCAGGAGGCCTGCGTGTGTGACTGAGGGAGCCCCAGAAAGCTGTTGTGGAGCCGGGCTGGGACCATCTTTGTTTCCCCTTCATGTGTCTGTCTCTCCCTTCTCCTCTCATAGGACAGAGCAGATGGGCCAGCTCTGTGTGAGACCCAACCCTGCCCTGTACACTCACTGTCACCTGCCTCCTGCCTGTCCTCCCCCAAGCGCCCATGTCCTGTGTTGTCTTTGTTTCTTTGTTGTTAAACTGGGGTAGGGAAGGGATGGGGTGCTCGTTGAGAACCGGAGACCTCTGTGGAGACAGGAAGAACGCAAAGGGAAGGAACTGCTCCTGAGCACTCTGCTAGTGCCAGGCTTCCTGGAAGCACCGTCAAGAAGGGACTCAGTGTCTCCCCCATGTTCCCAATGTCAAGTCATAGCATCTGTGAACCGGGGCTAGGGCAATGGCAGACAGTCTCTGATTGTGGAGGGGTCATCTGGCTTTGTGCCATCTGGTTCCCAAGTCGGGACTGTCAGCTGCTTCCTAAGTTAGACTCCTGGAGGGACTGACTTTGGCATGGGGCAAAAGAATCCTTTCTTAGTCTTCAAAGACTCCAGCTCCATAGTCTACTCAAGAGATGGCCCAGGCACTAGGGGTTGGAAGCTGACCCACTCACAGTGGTGTGCTCTGGGTTCCCTGTGCCAAGCTGTGCCTCACGATGCTATGTGCTGAATGCAGCTGGTGGGCACACAATGGGTGTCTGTGTATAGATGTCCATGGTGGGGCAGAGTCCCTACTGGGAGGGGTTGGGCTGAGCTGTGTGCAGGCTGAGGAGGTCCTTGAGATGGTGTTGACCCTTGGAGAGGTGCATACAAATCGATAGGAAAGGTGGCCAGTTCACTGCTGGGGCACTGGGGCAGGGCTGGAGGAGGACAGTGCTGGAGGACGGAGTCACTGTACTGTTGCTGTGAAGACACCATGACCAAGGCAGCTCTTATAAAAGAAAGAGTTTAGCTTGGGGCCTGCTTACAGTTTCAGAGTTTTAGTTCATCATCATGGTGGGGAGCACTGCGGGGAGCACTGTGGCGTGCAAGCAGGCACTGGAACAGTAGCTGAGGGTTACACCGTGATCCACAGGTATAGACACTGGGCCTGAGATGGGCTTTTGAAACCTCAAAGCCTATCCCTGGTCACACACTTCCTCCAACAAGACCACGCCTCCTAAACCTTTTTTCAAATGTTACTCCCTGAAGACTAAGAATTTAAATATATTAGTCTATGGGGGACATTCCTATTCAAACCGCCACACTGGGTGACAGTAGAGAAGAGCAAATGTCACTGGAGGTGAGCTGGAAGGGTGAGGGACCTTTGGCCTGGGAAGCTAGAATGTTGTGGGTGACCATAGTTGATATGAGATGCTGGTGGGGTAGGTGTGACCAGAGCCATCCATATGCAGACCTGGGTCAGGCTTCCTAAGAAGGAAGTGTGACCCCGCTCTGGAGAGAGCACCGGGAAGAGCAGGGTGGACGGCTGCCTTGGGTGAGAACTAATATGGTACTCTACTAGCCAATGAGGCCAGGTTGCTGGGAAAGTGACAGATGGGATGTTTGGTGAGCTGAAGTCCAGGCCAGATGTCGGACGGGACACAAGAGAGATGGCAGGGTGGACACTACCGGAAAAGGGTCTTTATGAAGGGAGTTTAACATGGAAGTTAGTGCAGGAGAGCCCTTCAGGGGGTTGACATCCTGTGCTAGGTCTCATGGTCCTTGGAGCTGCTGTGTCTATGCTAAGCATATCCTCCCCTCCTGTAAGGGCTTATGTGCTGCAGAAGAACTGGAGGGGAGTGGGGTAGGGAGCTCACTAGAAGGAGCTGTTCTTTCCACCTGGAAGGACCTCACTCTGTGCTTTCCAGCAGAGGGCGCCCTCACCTGCCTTTCAGAATTCCCATGCTGGGCTGTGTATGAGTGCCAATCTGGTTGTCTTGGGAGGCAGACAGAAACCCCTGTGGGCCAGCCTCACTAGAAAAGGCAAAAAGGAGCTTCAGCTGTCCAAGTGCCAGCATCAGCCTGGAGTGGATGTCGGGGCTGGTGTGGGTGGAGACCAGGGTGGCAGCAGTGTTGGCTGGGGTGAGCCCCTGCTGCTGCAGACCATCTTTTGCACTCTGATACCCTTTTTCCTATCTGCTGTCTCTTCCGATGCTCCCCGTTAGTGCTGAACAAAGACATTGCAGCCTGCCGCACAGCAACGATCACGGGTACCTTCAAGCGACCGTCACTGCCTGAAGAGGAGAAGATGAAGCTGGCCAAGGGCCCACCCCCCACCTTCAACAGCCTGCCAGCTAACGTGTCCAAGCTGCACCTGCACGGCTCACCCCGCTACCCTGGTGGGCCACTGCCTGACTTCCCCAACCATTCACTCACCCTCAAAAAGGACAAGGCCCCCAAGTCCTCTTTTATCGGCGATGGGGACATCTTTAAGAAACTGGACTCCGAGCTGAGCCGGGCCCAGGAGAAGGCTCTGGACACGAGCTACGTGATCCTGCCCACAGCCACGGCCACACTCCGGCCCAAACCCAAGGAGGAACCCAAATACAGCATCAACATTGACCAGATGCCCCAAACCCGTCTCATCCACCTTAGCATGGCGCCTGACGCCAGCTTCCCTACCCGAAGTCCCCCTGCCCGTGAGCCCCCAGGTGGTGCACCCCCTGAGGTGCCCCCTGTCCAGCCCCCACCACCACCTCCTCCACCACCCCCTCCACCCCAGCAGCCCATACCCCCACCACCCACCCTGGAGCCTGCACCTCCCAGTTTGGGGGACACAGGGGAACCTGCGGCCCACCCGGGACCCAGTTCAGGTGCTGGGACCAAGAATGAGAATGTGGCCACCTTGTCAGTGAGCTCCCTGGAGGTGAGGATGCTTTAGAGTCTGCTGAGGCAGTGATGGGTGGAGCCCCCAGCCAAAGGCTGGAACTTCCCTGCCCTGTAGGCTCTGGGTATGTCAGAAGTGGGTAGGGCTGGTCCAGGGACAGGATCTTTTTGCAATCCAGCCTATTTCATAGTTGGTAGCACATAACAGTCTGTGGATAGCCTAGTGCTTGTACTCCCCCTGTACCTTGTTCAGCCTTTAGGACAAGGGGTAGAGGCCATGGGATGGCACCCTTAGGGAGCACCTGTCCCACACTAGGTGGTACCGCCACATCTAGCCTTCTACCTCTTTGGTGCAGACAGCAGCCTGAGTTCACTGTTGAGGGTCCAACCATGTGACCTGTGTGGCCTGACTGAGAACACTGCAGAGAGAGGGCAAGGGCAGACAGGCCTGGAGCAGGGAGGAGAGTCCTCACTGCTCAGAGACCTTGAGGTGGCCTTGGAGTAAGGGCATTGAGACCCATCCTCATTCCATCAGTGTCAAGGATTTCCCTTCAGTCTCAGCAGCCCCTCCAAACCCACAGCTGGGCCTGGTCCCCAGGGAACAGGCAACCTGGGTACTTGGTGCACCCTCAGCATGTCCCTGAAGGCAGGTTAGTGTCTCCCCATTTGTCAGGCCAGAGGGCCTGGACTTGTGGTCTAGGCAGTTTTAGGGAACACATTACCCATGCACACAACCCCTTTCTCCTGCAGCGGCGGAAATCACGGTACGCAGAACTGGACTTTGAGGTAAGTGCAGGGGCCTCTCTCTGGACAGACAGGCTGGGTACTAGAGCCATTTCAGCAAGTGGGAACTGGGGAGGGCCTCAAGCCAGGGGCCAACAGCAGGTGGATCAAAGGGGTGGCTGTGGATGCCCATCCTGGCTCAGGACTTGTGGCCCCAACCCACAGAAGATCATGCACACACGGAAGCGACACCAGGACATGTTCCAGGACCTGAACCGGAAACTGCAGCATGCGGCTGAGAAGGAGAAGGAGGTGCCAGGCGTAGACAGCAAGGTCAGAAGCAGGGGCTCTGCTCCAGCCACCACAGGCTTCTGCCCACTTTCTTCACACCCTCACCCCCTGGATTCTTTGGCTGGCTTTTCCCTGTGCTAGCTGTCCCTTCTCAGATGTGCAAAGGACAGGGCAGGAGGATCCTGAGCCTGGCTCTGTCGGACAGGTCCCAGACTATCCTTCCCCACAGCACTGAGCCCATCATAGGAACTGTAGCTATGGCCCGGACTCGAGCTGTGGGATGCGTGGGTTGCTGCTCTCTGGGAATCCCTTCCTAAGAGCCCTTCTCTCTCTTCTTCCTCCTCACCCATAACATCATCCCATTCGCCTCTGCCCTGCCTACACCACTGGCCTTGAGTAGCCAGAGAAACAGCAGACTCCCAACAAGAGAGCCTGGGAGAGCCTCCGCAAGCCCCACGGGACACCCGCCTGGGTAAAGAAGGAGTTGGAGCCACTGCCCCCGTCTCCACTGGAGCTGCGGAGTGTGGAGTGGGAGAAGGCGGGTGCCACCATCCCACTGGTTGGCCAGGACATCATTGACCTCCAGACCGAGGTCTGAGCGGGCGGGCCGTGGCCCCACACCGGGTCAGGAGGTGGGATGCTGCTCTGCCCGCTCCGCCATAGGACGGGCACAGATGCGCTCGCGGTGGCGGGCCGGGTCCAGCCCCGGCCTCAGGGCGCTCAGAGGCGGCCAGGCAGAGGGCCCGCGGTGCTGGGACCAGAGCCAGACACAGGACAGGAGGTGGAATGGCCGGCGGGCACAGGGATCCAGAGGCCAGATGGTGCCTCAGACTCTGCCCTCCTTGGGCAAGCCCGGGCAGGCACGTGAGCGGCTGTGGACACGGACAGGCCTGGTGTGGCCAGCGTCCCCAGGATGCCCACCTCAGCCACCACTGCAGAGGACTGCCTGCGGCCCACCAGCCTGGCTCCGATTTTTAGATACCCCTACCCCTTGGGAATCAGCCAGACCCCCCACTCCCTTCCAGGACCCTGGGTCCCTCCCAGACCCAGGCAGAGAGCATGGTCCTGACCCAGACCCCCTGGGGCAGGACTGAGACCACTCTGGAAAGAAGCGGGGTGGGGAATCTATTTTTTCTCTCCTTTTCTTTTCTTCAATAAAAAGAATTAAAAACCCAGCTTTGTAGTCTTTTTTAATTTTTTGTTTTATTTTATTTTTCTGTTGCACCCTAGTTCCACTTCAGTGATAGCTAGGTAACTCCTGTCCTGTCCCGCCCTGGGTGCCCGCCCTCCACATGGTCCTCTGAGGGCTGGACTTAACTCAGTTCTCCAGTTCAGGAGTATTTGACTCCCTAGCCCCCTGAGTCACCTGGGAAGGACAGAGTTAACAGACAGCAACTTTATAACAACTTGAAATGAAAGAAAAGAAACAAAATATGGGCTGTACCTGGGTTCTAGGGTTCCCCTCCCACCCGCAGCCTCCCTGAGCCCATCTTGAACAGGCCTGCCCCCACTATTTTGTAGGTCCCAGTACTGACTCCCTTTGTCTCTCACTAGGTGCTTCCTGTCCCCAGGCTATGGTGGTCCTATCAGTGGTGTAAACTTAGAAGGGAAGTGTGAGCATGGTCAGATTACCAAAGATGCCTAACAAGTCACCAGATGCCATCAAGCTTCAGCTGTCTTGCGTTCCCCAGAGCTTCCAGCAGAGGGCAGCCTAAGCCACTCAAGGAGTCTAGCTGGGAAGCTAGGAGGTTCCCTCCGTCCCTCCTTCCCCCCTTCTCCCCCCTTCCCTCACTCTACGCCCCACCCTCACCCCCAACCCTGGGACTGCACAAACCTGGACCTCTGCAGGCAGAACCCTTCAGACCTCGGTGTGAACTGGAATCCAGATGCAGAGCATTGGCCCTGAGGGACATGTGGGGTACCTAGGACTCCAAACAAAGTGCTAAGAGCTCGAAAGTGAATATAGCCCCATATAGGTTCCTTTTATAACCTCACCCGAAGCCTCTCCCTTCATCCCCTCCTTGACACCTTGAAGAAGCCCTCCCTTCTCAGCATCCTTTTTAGCAGCAGAGACAGGATAGGACAGTGCTTGTTGGTATAGTGACCACAGTGAGTTCAGGTAACCGTGATGGCCATGCACACGCCTGGGTGCGCAAACACGGGTGGATGAATGGTAAGTGAGGAGGGACATGTCCACAGATGCCCAGAGAAGGGCAGGAAAAGACCCAGCATAGACCCTAGCTACAGACCACAAACAACAACAAAACAAAAACCCCACCAATGCTTCTGTGAGATTTGGCCACAAAATATAGCACAGCCTAGGCCACGCCATGGCTAATGTGAACTGAATATGAACTGGTGCATATGCCCTGCAACGGAAGGCTTCTAAGCTTTACTACAGCGCCTCCCACAGGTCACATGAAATATCACCTATCGTAATGCACTGCAGTCTGTGCACAAAGGCCCTACCTTCCAGGACTGGAGAGCTTCCTATGAGTTGAGTGGCCAGAGTCTCCTCCTCACCCCTTGCTATTATAGAATAAAAGAAACTGAGAGGGCCTACAGGCACAGGCAGAGAAAGCTCTGAGGTCTTAGCACTCTGCCTATGCAGGCAGCATGAGGGCCGTGTCTGGAAGGCTGAATCCTACTCAGACTTATCTCTGTCTTCATGCAGTGACCGGACATCCATAGGCAGCTCTGTAACCTCCCTGTCCTTGTCTGTCCTCAACACCCACAACAAAACACAAAGCATGAAGGGAGAGACTCAGAGCAGTGGTGCCTGCTGGAGTCAAAGCTGTCTAACTACAGTATGTATCCAGAGGCAGCTCTCCCCGCCAATCCCTATTGCATGCCCTCCCTCTGGAGGGATATTTATGCTAAGAGATACCTAGAACTCCTGGCTGCCCAGGACTCCTCCTCCTTCTCCTAGAGAGACTCATTACGGAAATTGCTATCTACTTTTGGCATAGGAAGCTGGCCAGCACAGGCTGTACTTCATTAGCACCCTGAGCCTTGCTCCAGCAGGCCCCACTCCAGCAGGCTCCGTGTACATTCCAAAGGGGAGTCTGTACCCTTAGCCCAGAACTCTTGTGGAGACAGGAGTTCTTCCATGGATCTCTTTCAGGTCTCTTTGCTCTGCCTCAGCTTTTTGGAGTGCTGTGCTCCTAACACCTGGCAAGCAGGGTCACAAGCCTATCTAGAGTGAAGAACCAGACTCAAGATGACTAGAGGATGCTGCCAGTATGCTACAAGTCAGGAAGGGCTTTGCCTGCAACTCAGCAATCCTGGCACCAGTTCCTGGATGCTCCCCTAACAGGTGTCTTTCCTGAGGGCACCAACACCATCCTTAGCTGCTGCTGCCACCACAAGGCACTTTCCTTTGGGGCTCCAGATGGCTGGGGCTCTAAGAGATCTTCCTGGGCCCTCCTTCCATGACTTGGCTGTCCTAGCCTCTCCGGGCTACTTTTTAGCAATCTGTCACAAGTGAACCTGAGAGTCCTCTCTTCCACCCTCCACCTGTCATCATTAGAACTACCTTGCCTTAGGAGATGGCAGGACTTGGAACGATGGTGGTCACCATTATGACTGGAACAACATTGGGGATGGGTAAAGTTGGGGGTGAAAGTTTGGTTTATAGACATAGAACTAGAGATTTTACTGGTGATGAGGGCGATGATGGTGATTGTGATAGTGATGATGATAATGACGTAAGGCTAACAATAACAATGGTGATGTCACGACGACAGAGGTAATGATGTCAGCGAGGTGATGTAGTCATGGTGAGGCTGGTGATGATGGAGATGATGGTGACACTGGTAAGGCTAAGAACAGCAATAGTGAAACATCAACAGTCACGTGGTGGTGGTAATGGTGCTAGTGAGGTGAGAGTGGTGATAGGTGGTGACAGTTGTAACTGACGTTTGTCCTGGTGGTGCTGAAGACAGCAAGAGCTACTGTGATCTCTGGATGGTAGTGGAGCTGTTGGGATTAGAACCTGGGTCTTACAGTTCACTGGTTCCTGGCTCCTACGAACTGGGGAATGTGTAGGAAGAAGGATACACAAGGACAATGAGTTTCTGCGTCACCTGGGGGTGCAGCCAGCAGGAGCAGCTGCCAGCAAGTAGTTCGTTCTTATCAACACCCACACCGGTACAATCCGGAGGACGCCCCTCCTTACCTGCTCTGTCTGTTCATTTCTACCTTTGATTAATGTAAACGCTGCTGAGAGGGGCCCCAAAGGTGCTCTAGCCCTTCCCATAATGCCTTGCCTGTAGGCAGTCTGGAGACCTCTGTGGCAAAGCTCTACAGTGACCTCTCTTCCATTTTCTGGGTCCAATGACTTACTACAACTAACTCCTTCGCCTCTAACCTGTTTGCCTCTCTCTCCGTCATACAAAGGTTCTTGTTCCCTGGGAGAATTCTACCCTTTGGTTTTCTCCCTTGCCCCATTCTCCTCCCTGGGCCCTGCTTCTCACAGGCTGGTCCCAGAGGGGAGCAAATATACAAGATGACACGGACTCTAGGACTTGTTCCAGAATCTTCTGCTAGATGGACTGTCCCTTCTTCAGCCTACCCTCACCTCCCTTTGATGGCCTTGGGAGGTGGGAGCTGTGTTGGAGGATGAAGGCTGAAGAGATGCCAGCTCCCCGTGGCTTTCTAAATGTCCGTGAGGCTATAGGGCAGCTGATGAATCACTCAGAGAGCCCAGAAACTGTCACCCCCACCCAGGCTCAAACACTGTTGGCTTTTTTCATGGGCAGAGGTGGCCAGGTAGTCTTCTTAGATGTAAAGTCCTGTGGTCCCGGTTTGCTCAGTCCTCTGATCTTTCTAGTGCCATGACCCTAAGGAACCAGCCTTCTGAGAAGGAGTCCAAGTGGAGATATCTCAGACTTGGCTTCAGAGATCCTGTCCATAAGGGTCTAAGCTGGGTTTATGTAGAGCAAGCCTGCTAGGGATGGTCTCTGCCTCATTGGCCACCCAGGGATGACCAGGTAAAGAAGGTCAAATCTACCTTTCACCATGTCTCACATTTTCCCTCTGGGTCTAAGATTCCTTACTGAGGCCACAAGTCCCTAAGGACTCCCAGGTCCCCAGATTTTTAACACAAAGCTTCTTGGGTAGTCGAGAAGCTTCGGGCTCCCCTTTGTCAGGGCCTAAAAATAACCAGGCAGGAGGAACTCTGAGTAGCTAGCAAATGTGCCAGCCAGCACCCCACACAGCGGAAGCACCTCCAAATAAGGCCTAGGCAAAGCGGAAGACAGCACGCAAGCTCATCAGCGCTGACGTGGATTCCAGATCCTTCCCTCCCTGCACCCTCAGAGTCTCCCCCAGAGCCTGTGTGACTCAGGGACCTGGGAGTCTGGTATGTTCAGGGTGCCCGGAGCTTACTGGGCAATTCATTAAAGCAGTCTGCTCTTGGGTCCTGGAACTTGTAAGATCAGTTTGGGGACTTTAGAAGCCTCTAGCTGGAGTTGTGAACTTAGTAGTATGGACTCTTCAGACAATCAGTCACCCCGGCTCAGTGGACATGGTGTGAGCCCACACAAGTCCCCTGGGGGTCCAGGAGTTTCCCTCACCACCACCATGGACTCACTAGGA